CCAGCTACAGGATGGGAACACCTCAGGCCTGAGTAACCAGTTACAGGTACCAATACTTCATCCTACCACTTTAAGTCTTACTTTCAGCAACCCTTTTGATCTTAAACTAACAAAGTTAGAAATGTCCATTCATTTTTACCCACACTTTCCTCGTCCTAATCAGCCAAACGATGGCTAGATACACACCTCAGACTACATATAAATGGGTTTCCTTCCATTTTCCATTACCATCACGTATTGTTCTGAAATTGCTTATTCTACATTTTACTATGATTGTTTTCGGGTAGATATCGTTCACTGTGCAACTGTGTATTATCTTTTTTTATTTCCTTATAACTGGACGTTTAAAAGACAGAAACACTTTTTAGTTCAAAGTTTATTAATATTGATTAAATCATGATAACGTCCAAAAACAATTGTACAAAATACAACCAATATTGCACTGTAATTGCATTGCCAAGTAAGATAAGTTAGAATTACAAATACCCCGCCCAGCATTGCTGCAGACGACTTCGTGACTTTATGTGTTGTCCTGTTTTCAGGTCATACGATATAGCCTGGGGAAGTTTATCATTGGGGAAATAATAAAAATAAAATTAGTATTGGGATAAAGAAGAGCGGAATGATTAAGAAGTTCAAATCAGCACTAACAGAAGCGTTCACGTTCCTGACATTAGATGTGAGATACAAAATTTTTGTCTCGTCGGTTTAGGTTAGTAAATAGGACAATGAGCTTTGATATTAAATTCATGTTGCATAAAAATAGGTGAAAAAATGCTATAGGGTAGACAGGAAAATCTACAATAGGTTGGGATACATGAACATTTTTTTTTCTTTTGCTTTTTTATATTTTTGTTACTTATCTTAATTTTCTTTTTTTCGTCATTTTTTTTATACCTTATTCACAAAATGCTTTCTTAAGATCATTAGGTTAAACTAGGCTCGTACTCTTAAAAACTGAGAAAATGCAACTCATTTTTTCACATCAGGTGGAATCTATTACAAGCAACGGAGACGTCAAACATCGTTAGGGAAACTGGGAATGCCAAAGGGAAGAGGTGATATGTACTAAAACCGAAGTCGAAACTTACTTCACTACTATGAATATTATTGACCGGTAACAAGAAATGAAGATGCCGCAATAAAGGCTATCAGCAACGTGTCCATATATGTTTGGAGTGTTGTCAATAAGGATATCAAAATGATTAAACAGTGTACATTTGATGTTCATTCAGTTGCTTTTGCCAATAACCAAATACTTATTTTATGCATGATTTCATAATTTCTTTAAATTAACTTTGATCATTTGATACATGATATCTTTAGTATCAAATACGAGGTTTCACTTAATAAAGAAAAATTATAAATATTGGGTTGTTAATTTGAAGAGGTAATGTCTGTAATTAGTCGAAACTCACGGTCATTATTCTTTATGAATAAAGATATTAAAGATCTATATGAGAAATATCAGACTCAATTAGTTTCATCGAAGAACAAAATCAACTATATAAACACGTAACGAAATACCACACGCTTCTTCGTCATCAGATGCCATCAGAATTCATACGAGAATATTCTTCTTGAAATATAGCATTATCATTATTTGCAATGGATAAGGTAACTAGGCAAAGGTTGAAATTAAAAAAGTCCTTGTTTTGATCTTGTTGAAGCCATTTTGTTTATTGATCATATATTTCTTTTGACAAATGAATAATACATACCGTTTCTCACCTCAGTTTCTTAAATGGTTCAGTTCGTCCATGAAAGACAAAAAAAGTCCATATGGACGACTCTCTTACGGCGCACAATAGTAATGGGATCTCAATACATTCATAACATGCCTTTTTCGGGATTTTCACCACTGATTACTCCGAATAATACTGATTTGATCAAATTGAACATGTTTCTCGGTAACTTCAATGCAATTTTGTCACTTAGACGCCAATAAATATCTAATCAATAAAGGGAGCTTCATTCAATGAGTGCAGTTATTCTTCATATTACATGTTAATAGTTTACCATCTGTGGTAAACTTACATAGATTATATTTTCCTATATCATATATTATAAATCACTGAGACGTTCTGTTTTATAAACTCTTTTCGACGCCGTCAAGCGAATTCAAATAGTTGCCATTATCACTATTTTTTGGTAACTTTAAGGATTGAATTAGACTTGCTTGTGAGTGGAATTGATGGCATTTCCGTTTAAACTTGAGATAGTACGAAGAGATCACACGAGCTGCGTGCGAATATCACCAGTCATTCTTTAAAGAAATTGAGTAAAGTATTAACCCTATCTTTTAACCAAAATCACACTGAGGTCATGTAAACATGTATTCACATAAAGTCAAAGTGAAGACAAAACTCTATTTAAGAAAAGGATGATGTACCTCTAAAAAGGGTGGGTTGTGATCCCCTTCAAACCATCTGAAGTGAAGACAGTATTAAATGTAAAACTTGTTTAATTCTCAAACTCTGCCTTCACTTCACAAAGGTACTCTAGGACCCCAAGGCAGGTCAAAAGAGAGAGCTCTCATAAAAATAAAAGAATGGCGCTGCATTGCTGTGTTTAAATTAAATTTTATTTTAAAATGGTAAAACAATATACCGTTATACTTACCTTCGTTACAAGTAGATTTTGAAAAACGTAAGATAATAATTGTAGGTCTGGTTTCTCCAAGGTGATGTACCAAGGTGAGTGAAATTTTGAAGTTTTATCACAAATTATGCAAAATTATGCTATATATATATATATATATATTTATATTGTGTGCTTTCAGTTAATGTACTTACGTTGAGGTCGAGGTCACCTAAACATACCCATGTGCGGGGTCAAAAGGCTTTTTTTTCAACAACATGTAGATCGCGTGTTGCTCGCCGATCGTGGTTAATCGTAATTTTCATGACTTTTTAACTGGATGTTTTTCGACCATTACAAAAGACAACATAAATGGCTAAGCTTATATATTTAACTTGTTGCGTAATATGAAACAATGATGAAAATATTTTCTTAAAATAACTCAATGAAACGTTCTCACTAACACACTAAATATAGCTTTTTTCATATATATAAATATATATATATATAACTTATAAATTATATATTAAGAAAATTGTTTGCCCAGTTTAGAGATGTATATACTATATACATATCTCTTCTCAAATTTACATACGAATTAGTAAGCCTATGACCGAGTATGACTGTAAATAATTAATGATCAACTACATCAAACATAGTGTATGATGAAATATAAAAAAACATATCATAATAAAATATGATGGAAGTAATATTGTAACGTGACGGGGAGGAGGTTTCCAGAATACAACATTTCACAGCAGAGTTCTATTTACAAGTTTATTTACACTTTATATACAACGTACAACATCACGGTCAGCATAGTCCATAGCAACACCTGAGAGAATCCCCTAGGTAATTTACCTCAGCTAAGCTATACAGGAGACAACCTAATCACGTCTGTACTCCACTAGATCACTCCCCTTTCTCCCCGGCCCCACGCTGGTCTCTCCCCAGCTATTACTCCTAGGTGTACCTGAGGCCAGCCCTGTAGCAGTGACAGCTCCCATGACCTTAAAGGTCAACTCTCCGGCTCAGCCATGTACCAGCCCGCCTGCTATCAGTATGGTCCCCCCCTCCCCTCCCAAAGGTGTCAAAATACAATATGTTGACAAAGTTTTCCTTGATTATTGTGCTATGGACGTGAATTCGCTTAGTGAATCACATAATAGTTAAGAGATCAATAATGAACGATGCCGTTTTGACTTTCTTAAAACAGAATCAGTTTCAATAAAAAAAAATATTTGACGGTTGAATTGTTGAAGTGTGGTTGGATACGTTCTGTCACAAGGCTGAGTTACTGAACTGTATATATAGAGTTATACAAAATGTGTTATGAAGTAAGAAACTTTCATCCATGCAAACATCTGTGGTATTGTGTACTATTTGGAGCTAAAAGCAATCAAAAGCAAGTCAAAAAGATATTTGTTAAAATATTGATTAACTTATTACTATCAGTAGAATATATCCAACGAGAAAGTTAGTTTGCAATCCAATATAGAATGCTAGAAATTCCTGAGGAAAAGAAACGTGAGACATCTTGGAAGGTATGCAAATATCATCAGAATAAGGCGTATTTTAATGTTTCACAACACATTTAAAGTCTATAGACTACGCGAATTATTTTATTACCGTATATTAAAATTAATTTCATTAAAATTTCATGTCCTTTTTTCTCGTTTTCTGCAGAATTCCTTTATACTTTTCTATCGAATTATCACCAAACCCCTTAAGAATGCCAAAATTCCTCCGGACAGATGATGGCATTGCAGCGATATATTACTGAATATACATGTTCGTGTAGGCTTGTCTCTGTTTATGAAGTCAAATTTAGATACCCCGAAAAATATTCTAAATATGTCCAATTTTATATGCAGTTTACTTACAGTGGCTGATTAATTAGGCCAGGCAAAAAATATTTTGTGTAATCCTAATTTTAGTAATTTTTCTAAGAATCGCTGATAACGCTAAGATCACTCCCTTTTATAAACCACATACTTTACACAAAAAAATCCGTTACATACCTACCCTAAAATTTGAACACATGCTACAGAAAACACAGTTATTTTATTAACTTGGCCTCATTAAATACCTGCTACATGTACGAAATGTATGAAAATTGAACGTAACATCACAAATCTGTATTAATCTAAAACTAAAATTAAAAACCACTGATCTTAAAGCTTTCCCCGATCCTACATTATACCAACAGCTAGATATCCCTTGGTAACGAGCGAGGGCAATTCGGATAGAACTGCTAGCTTCCCGATTTTCACATTACGTGAAGGACAGAGAATGGAACAATGATATAAATACATACATTAGGTCACGCGTTGGCGATTACATGCTGTATTTTTGGCACCTGTTAGTTGTCCTTAAAAAGTCAAATCGTGACCGACAAAAAGTGATCTTGTTTTAAAAGTGCTTAAAAAGGTGCGCGACCGTATGTGTCAATACAGACTTCGTCATAACTATCAATCATGAAGACCGCTCTGATCCTCGCCTGTTTTGTTGTCATTATGACAGGTAAGTTATACACACTATCAAGAGTAGAAATAATGTTAAGAAATGCAGGCTTGTTCAATGCAATAGGTTAAAATATTGAAATTGAGTCAATTTCACGATTTCAAGATGAATTCATTACTGTAAAATAACACGATTTCAAGATGAATTCCAGACTGTAAAATATGTATCATGATTTTAAAATGAATTCTTCACTGCAAATCTCACGAATTCAAGATGAATCTTCACTGTAATATCTTACGGTTTCAAGACGAATTTTTCATTCTTCACTGTAGATCTCACGATTTCAAGATGAATTCTCGCTGTACATTTCACGTTTTCAAGATGAATACTTTGCTATAGCATATCGAGATCTCATAATGAATTTTTCACTTTAAAAAGCCTTCGGCTACCAGCCGGCCAAAGGGATATGCATGTTTGAGACTTGAAAAGAGGCAGATTGTCTTGAAACTTTAAAAGTTCCTTTTGTCAGCATTGTCACCATAACGTTTTGGCTTTTTATTAAAAAAAAATATATATAAATAATACGTACCCAACGAATAGATTGTTGTTTGGATCCTGTGCCCTTATCGTCGTTATTACTTTTGAGATCTAAATATATTTCTTATTTATTGTTGAAGATAATTGAATATGAGGGGTACCAATTAGGGCCTTCTTGTGGCTATTACCGATAAAATTTATTTATATCTTGGAGTTATGCCAGCACATGATAGGAATTTAATGTCATCATGGCGACCATTCCTGAATACAAGGGGTTATGTTTGCGGACCAAAAGCACAAATAGCTTCTTTTTGACGAAAACATATGTGTTACTTTTTCTTTAGATTTCCTCATAACTTTGACGAATTGTTAACAATTTTTTATATGACTTTCAGATAAATAAGTCACTATTAAAACAATTTTCACAGAATACATCTGTATCCACTAACTGCTATGTAACAAGTCAGCGTACCTCGCTACTTATCATAATAAAAATCCTAATTGTGTCTGTCAGTGCTTTATATCAAGTTCAGAACAGTCAACAATGGAAGAAACATAATTGAAACAAATGTATCCATGTAAAGTTTGATATTTTCTTTACATATGATTGATATCTTGGCTTACATAATATAGGATGTAACATCTCTGACTAACACTAAACATACAGATGGTATCTACCGTTGTTGAGGTCTTTAAGTCTGTGAGTATAATGTATAGCGTACTTGCCTCCTAGTCCAGCTTAAGTTGAAAAATATTTGCATCACTTGTTCTGTACTGTTAATGTATGGTTAGCTTGGTTGTTTGGTTTTATTGTATTTATCGTCCATGTAACTGCTTACGTCATTTAACGACTTGCCTCCATGTTTGTTGTGTAAATGTGCATGTTTGTATGTGTGCCGGAGACAGGATAAGTTTGTGAACTTACCTCCTTCTGGTAGCGTGGATCTGATGCCGAATGTATAGTGCTATCTGACTGAAATACCATGCCGAAGGCACCAAGCATAGCATTTCAACCAGTCACATTATACTGACAACGGGTGAACCAGTTATTGCCATTACCTTAAATGCTGAACGTTAAGCAGGTAATAACACGTAAACACTAATTATAATTATGTAAACATTTTACTCACAGATATAAGGACTTCCATCTAATTATGTAAAAATATAATATCAGCAAAAACTATATAATATCTTTATATGCGTCCATTTATTTTCATCATCCGTTGTTGCACTGTAGATGGTTAGGAACTTGTTGAGGGCAGACACATTTTCTTTTTAGGCTACAGTAGTGAGATACGCTTTCTTACATATATTAGAAAGTAAGCGTTCAGATGCATTATTCTTATAGTGGACTGATATATCTGAACGTCAGATGCAAGTGTGTTTATGCACAAAAAGAGGGTACCTTTGACATTATTAAACGGATACACTGTAACCGACCTATAAACTATGTGCTAGTTTGATTTTGTTATTTTTTTATTAGCAGCTTAAGAGTTACACAATACCCAAAAACTATGCAGATAGTTTAAAAAAATGACAGGGATAAAAAGCAATTTATGATTTTGGTCCTCCAATTTACCGCCTTATATCTCGGAATGGTTTTCATGCCGACCTCTATTTAAATTCATGACGGCGTAACCCAAATTTAGTTTTACTGTTTATGCAAAACTAAAACTCATTAATTGTTTCATTACTTTCATATGTTACATCTTTATCTTTATGGTTGTATGTACACAGTTACGACTTGAAAAAGCGTGTTTCTCATAACGTTTGTTCACATAAGTTGTTCACCAGAGATATCATTACGGATAAAAGAAGAAAAAAATATAAAGAAAATGTTTTTCTTTAAACTTATATTACAACCTTAATTAGACCACAATTTTTCTACACTAACAAACACTATAAAATGTCTTGAATTGAAATTTCACTTTAACAATGAAAGAAAATATGGATTGATTTTTTTTCATTGAATAAGATGTCATACTTTCGGAATTTTATACCTTCAAGGTGAAGTTGTAACGAATATCTTTTGAAAGAATATATAGGTCATGAGATATAGATCTAAAATATTGACAACTCGAAAATTACCACACCGCGAACATTTCAAACCGCGAAAATTTCAACTTTTATAGTACTATATTAAAGAATTTTGAAGAGTGATTTGGTTTAACAGTAAAGGTCATTTACAGACTTGATCGGTGGTTCTATCCATATAGGATTAACACGCAGAATCTATACCAATGCAGGTTCTTTTGTTTCGTTTTGTTTAATAAAAGGGGTGTTAAAAACAGAACAAATCTACCTTTTATTACGTATATTTGATACTTGACAGGTTAATGTGACATTGTATTTGCATCACTGATCCTGGAGATCACTTGACATAGGTTAAGCATTTGAAGGGAGAAAACTCTATTACCAATCACACGCTAAAGTATCTTGGTTTTCGTTTTCACCGTTTCAGTGTACACGGTGAGAGCTCAAGGGGGTCATGTGGCCTGCACTGAGGACAGCGATTGTACTGCTGACTGCCCTACCCATCACGGTTTCAGTCTAGCTAACGTGGGTCAACACGGCAACTGTCACTGCCACTCTGTCCACGCATGCACTGCTGACAGCGACTGTTCATGTTCAACCGAATTCACAGCAAGTTGCGAACACGGCCACTGTCACTGTACGTTTGACGTTGTATATAAAACTATTATAATTTAAATGCTTAAAGAGGTATCTTCTATTTTTCTATAAAAAGTCATTTTCGCTTTGTTTTGTTGATGTTTGAATCACATATGTTTATAAGCATGTTGTTAATGTTAATAATTCATGTATCAGTGTAAGAAAGTTTTACTTCTATTGATAATTTTGATGAACAATTTGTAACCTGTTTCTATTTGCAGGTCACCATCATCATTGATGCGTCTACAATGAAAATCGCCTTTTGATGTATTGAATTAAATGTTTGCAAGTTATTCTTTCTGTTAGTGTTTATGTGGTAAATTACTTGTACTGATGCTTGCATTTCTATACTCAAATGAAGTTTTGTCTTATGCTATGTAATCATTTGAAGTTATTTACATAGCAGTTGTGCAGTCCACAAACTTTACAACTCCAAAAATGAATGAATAACATATCACGTCAGCCGTCAACAAAGATGAACATTACACACACATAGATGACTGCAACTTCAGAATTCGACAGTAGATACAATAGGCCCAAAATGCATTATAACAGCTGTTCTGTCCTTCTATGACTCATCGGTGATGTCAGGTGCCAAACAGTTTGAAATTCATATTGTCTTAACTACTGTTTAAATAAAGGAAAAGGTGCTTAAACACCGCATTTTAAAATTTTAAAATTTAGAGGGGTACTGGTTCATTCCTAATTGAATAATCTGTAAAATGTGTATATCAAGAACCGTGCCACTTCTCTAAAGAGATAATTGTACATACATACATACATACATACATACATACATACATACATTTGGTTTGATTTTGGTTAAGTATTGTTTAACGTCCTATCGACAGCTATGGCCTTTTTAGGACGGCCTCCCCTGTATGCAATATGCATGCGTGTAGTGTACACGGGTGTGTTTTGGGAGGCTGCGATATGTTCGTGATTGTCTCCTTGTGATAGCGCGGAACTGATGCCGACTTTATAGTGCTACCTCACTGAAACAGGGACCCGGTCAAAGTATATTGAAAACGGGCGAACCAGGCGCCCACTCCTAAATTGCTGAGAGTTTAGCAGGGGTAGAAAATACCATTTTTACCGACTCTGGTATGTCTTGGTCAGGGGACAGAACCCAAAGCCTTCCTCGTGATCAACAAAAGGCCAAAAGTGAGGCATTGTCAAGGGAGACATTAGGAAGAAGAAAGTTGTTTAGAAAGAAGAGAAAAGATAAGATTCCAAATTTAGTCGCCTCTTACGATCATGCAATGTGGGCAGCAGCTACAATTCTTACGCTCTTCCTGCAGGGGCACATACATACATTTTCCAATTAAAAATATATAGTCGAATTATGACTTGATTACACAAAACGCTCACTATTATCATATATTCTTGTACAGCCAAATTTATTTCCTCGTTTGCTTGTACAGTTATGTCTGGACATCCTCAGTGTAAACAAGCAGTATTCAAATCATATTTCAATGTGCAGATGTATTGTTCTCTTGAATTTGAATACTTTACACATGCAAAGAAAAAAGTTGTCCTCAAAGTAACAAAAAGGATCATCCCTAAGACTTTTCTCAAAAATATGTGCTTTGAAGCTACTGCATTGTAATCGGAGTCTGATATGATAAGTTTTGGCTTTACGGTTTCCATAGGAACGATAATTAGGCGATTTGTTTCTGTCTCTATCAAGAAATTGTTTAAAGGACAGCCACAAAAGGATTTTCTCTAATGGTGGAAGGGTAGGTCGGTCCACAGATGAACAGTGGTTAGGAGGAAAGAGTTTTTTTAGGAACTTATATAAGTTTTGATTGTAGATAATTGGTTGATTGTCTAGTTCTTGAGCTATGTATTTCAGAATTTCTTCTTAGAAGTGTGTTAGAAAGGGAAGATGGAGTACGATTATGGACCATGTTATGAAGTTTGATTATCTTATTTTTTTCCTGCGTTCTGCTAGTGTGTCCCAACACGTGTCTTTGTATAATAAGTCGATACTTACTAGTTTTGCTGCTCCAGTAACTAACCTTGCTGATTCTTTGTGAATTGATTCCAGTTTGTTATTAAGGAAAGTTGGTAGAGAATCCCTTACAACGTCAGCATATTCGAGTATAGGCATAATACATGAGAAATATATACGTTATAAGGTGCTACGGTCAAGAAGGAATTTAAGTTAACGTAAATAACCATTGAGTGGCCCATGTATAAATTTTAAAAATATCGTTATCTATAATATGGGCTGAATTAATGGCGTTGTCTTTACTAGATAAAAAGTAGTGTCATCAGCAAATAATTCATATCATTTATAAATATTAAAAACAACAAAGGCCCTAATATAAAGCCCCGAGGAACGCCAGAATTTAATAGTACTGTAATTTGAAAATTCTCCATTTACCACAACTCGCTGTTTCCTATCAGAGAGATAACTTTTGAATCACCCTAGGAGCGTTCCCGTAATGCCTGCTTCATTTAATTTATAGAGGAGACTCTTGTGCCATACGCGATCAAACGCTTTACTTATATCTAGAAAAACAACCTGTGTCTCCTTCCCACAATCTCAAGCTTTACCAATGTCGCTTGTGATATTAAATAGTTGATTTATAGCAGAATCGCCACATATGAACCCTGACTTGGGCCTAGTAAAAAAGAAGAATCATGCAGAAAGCTATGAACATGTCTAAAAATGCACCTTTCCATAACTTTGCCAACTATACTTAATGATGAAATTGGACGATAATTGGAAACAGCACTTGGGTCGTCTTTTTTAAATATACGCATAACGTTAGCCTTTTCCCATATTTCGGGATGATATTGATTACGTAGTGATTTATTAAAAAGATTACAAAGAGACACTATTAATTGTCGTTTACCTTCTTTATTTTTTTTAAGCTCTAATCAGATCAGGCCCAAATGCTTAAGAAGCATCTAATATGCATCAACACAAGCATTTCTTAGTTTTCTGATGGTTTCACAATGAATAGGGTTTTGTGTATGTTTAGCTTTAGCATGCATTCTTTTCCTATTTCTGATCAATCTGAATATATATTGTTGCGCATCCAGGGGGGATCGTGTTTTCGTAATGTTATGACTTTGTTAGGAATGGTGTTTGCGGCTACTTTGGCAATCGTCGTTGAAACAAAATCTGCAAAAAAAATATTTCCAGCGAATTGTTTTCAATCGATAATGCTTCTGTTTAATTCCAGCTAGCATTATTCAATTCATCACAATAATCGTTAAAATCACAATCTTTATAAAACCAAATGCGACGTTTAGTGCATTTATCATTTGGTGAACGTTTAAATTTCAAATAGGCATATATATTACAATGGTATATAAGGTTACTATTAAGAAAAGGATCACCTACGTAGGAATGATCCATAATATTGTCATTGCTAACGCTAACGAGGAACAAAAGTAAAGACCTCAAGGTTTCAGTGAAATGTGTTGGCTCGGTAATTTATTGCTTTAAGTCAAATTGGTTCATGTTTCTTGAAGGGCATAGTTACTCGTCGTCAGCAATATTGTCATTCAAAACTCGAGTAAACAGGATGTTCGTAATACCGATATTAATTGCAAGTTCTAAAGAAAAGTGGATCAAATTCCATTAGTGGTCGATAGTGTTTGGTGGACAATAAAAAGTACTAAGTAGCATTTTCTGTGCCTTCAGTTTAAATTCTGGCTATACACTTTTGATGTTCCTAATCTCGGGAACTGAATGCCGTTTTACCATTATTATTTTCCGAACGTAAACTGTTACACCGACGCTAATTTACTCTTGTCTACTTTAACAAAAGGTGGGAAAAAATCATCATGAATTAGATCGTTCAACGTCTCGTTCAAGGGGTTTAACCACGTTTCAGTGAGTGCCAGCACGTCAAACATATTAAGTTCAGTAAACAACACATCAATTTTAGGTAAAATGATCTGCATGTTATAATGTACATTACGTATATGTTTGTCAGCTGTAGTCGGACCTGGATTTTTGTCGACATATCCACACTGGGCAAGAAGATCGTACAAAAGTAAGGGAATGTCTTATAATAAAATCGAAAGAAATACATACGAATTCTTAGGCATTCCATTTATAGCGGAGTACTAGGTTTGCCGCCAGAACATTCAGTGGATCTAGGCGTTTATGTAAGGGTAAGGTCACGGATTTGTCGTAGAAGGCCCCAGTTTTAATTCGATGACATATTGCATCAGACGGCATCAGGTACTACCAGAAACGTAGAAGAGGTAATTATATTTTAAAAACCGCGCCCTCTACGATATAGTGTTCAGGTAGACTTTGATGAATAATAGAAAGTTTACAAAAAAAGTGTTCAGGATCAGTACTCGAATGAGAGCAAGCCATTTGTCTATTTGTTCAATATTAAATCAGATTTAATTGGAATAGTAACAGCAACTGAATGCAACACTTTCAATAACGCTGCAAGAATTCAGCGTACGAGATGAATGTTGGTTTCAACTCTTTTTAAAGTCCGTAGAGAGCTGAAAAGGAAATTTAGCTAAGGACCAGAAATAACATAAGAATTAAGTAAAGACACTCAGTAGCTAAGGTAGTTTTTATAATATAGTAGCATTCAATCTGTTGAATCACGTGCACCTGTGACCGAGACACCATTATTGTCGAAGGTCGTTGATAGGACATCGCCGTAGGGTACGACATCGCTCTCACGTCAAATAGAGATCCTTTCACTAGAGAGATTTTTGATAAAGATTTTCCCGTCAATCGAGTAGGTTTGCAAGATCTATATAAACTTCACTAAGCTCCTGACGTGGAAACACATGGAGTTCCTAATCTTTGCTAAATCCTCATTAACCATTATGTTTTTACAAGTCGGGATTTCTTTGAAATGTTTCCTCGCCATCATAAGATTGCGTTTCGCCTCGCGACTAGCCAACCGAGCAATGATTTGTCGTGGTTTGTTGTTCCTTCTAGGTCCAACACGATGAGACCTTACAATGTCCTTTGGATTGAGAACAACACCAGAAAGTTTGCTGACCGCATCAAGAATCATCTCTGTTGTGTTTTCGACACCATCGGACTCCTCGAACCCAGAAAATCTGACACATTCTCTACGACTGTATTGCTCAAGGTCATCTAATATATACTTAAGATCGTCATTTTTAGATTTAAGTGCATTGATTTCGGCTCTAAGGGGCACGACTTCGTAATTGACCATAGCCTGTATATCAGGTTATATCAGATTTCGAACACTGAGGGCAATGCGCTGAATGTCAAGGTCAGACAGGCTGAATGCGGCAAGGTGAAGGCCGGGGGTTGACATCAGTTGCTGTCC